GAAGTAATGGAAAGTAGCGAAGTTTTACTAGCTTCTGCAATGAATTCTTATCATTCTTCAATTGTTTTGGTGTATAAAAGCCCTAGCATTTATGCGCATTCTTCAAAAATAGGGAAAAACTGCTTTGTCCCACGCGGCAGACACGCGAAAAGGCGCCTTGTCGCCAATGTGTTAATAGAACTGTGGTCAGACCAGTAGCGGTTGGGGCTGAGTGCTGGCCTGCAACCAAGGAAGTCGAAGCCCGCCTTAGTGTGATGGAGATGAAAATGCTATGTTGGGCGGCACAAGAGCCTTCAAGTATCTTGGATCAGAAATTGTGTCCGATGGCAGTCTGACCTCAGAGGTGAACTCTCGTGTGAGTGCAGCATGGGCGAAATGGCGCTCGATGACTGGAGTTCTGTGTGACAAGACCATACCAGAGCACCTCAAATCGAAGATTTATAGAACTGTGGTCAGACCAGTAGCGTTGTACGGGGCTGAGTGCTGGCCTGCAACCAAGGAAGTCGAAGCCCGCCTTAGTGTGATGGAGATGAAAATGCTACGTTGGACGGCCGGTGTCACCCGTATGGATCGGATTTGCAACGATGACATACGCAAGAAGTTTGGCTTCCATAGTTGATAAAATGCGAGAATCTCGTCTCCGATGGTATGGCCACGTACTTCGCGCGAAGGCGGACACCGTCTGCAAAACTGGTCTCCAGCTCGAGGTGCTCGGCAAACGACCGAGAGGACGCCCAGGCAACGTTGGCTTGACACGCTGCACGCGGATTTAAAGATAGTTGGTGCTCACCCTGATCAGGCATTCGACCGGAATAAATGGCGTAACAAAATCAGGAGAGCGGACCCCGCTACAGAGCGGGACAAACGCTGAAAGATAAGAAGAAGTGATAACAAGAGACGATCTGCCTATGGTTGGACTAACCAGGGAAGGTCAACAGGTCAGTCCGGCCGTTCGTAATGAGATGTATACCGACTGATGTGTCTTCGAATGATGAGTTCAAATCTGCTTTCGAAATCTGCTGAACCGATTCCCTGAAAGGAGCTACGGGCTGCTTTTACCCAGCATGGTAGCATACACTCCTCGACCCTCTTGTTCCTGTAACACAAATTCAATTGGAGGCACTGGACTGTGGTGGTGCGGTGGTGTAGTGGTTAAGCACATTGGCTCCCAAACGTGAGGTCACGAGTTCGAATCCCGACTGATGCCAACATTTTGCTTTTTCTCTTGATTTCTGGTAGGAGTGCAGAAAGTACTGCTTTCTAGCTATCTTGTTGATTTACATGCATTCTTGGCACGGCTACATGAATGTGCCAGAAAATGTGTGGTTGTTGTATGAAATTGTTATTACCTCATATTTGTACATAGAAGAGGTGCATAACTGCAGAATGCTGGAATTTTACAAGCACATATGATATTCTTTCACAAAATGGTCAAAACACAGCAGTTTCTCGCAGTGAGCACAATGCCAGCACCAACTTTAGGTCAGATCTGTCCGGATAAAATTGTGAATCAAAGCTGCATTTGATTGTGGATGCCGCTCACCGCAAGGTAAGTGGCATGTTAGGTCTGACATTCTATTGATATCATATGTAGACCGCACTTCAGTACTGTTTCTCGTCTGGGCTCTTTAAGCAGTGTGACCATACTGGTTGTGGAGGGCTCTTCTTTATTCGTTGTAACCACTGTCAGAAACTGCTGTGTTTTGACCATATTCTTGTGTAAGAATATCATATGCGCTTGTAGATTTCAGCATTCTGTAAGTTATGCACCACTCTCTATGCGTATAAGATATGATGGTAATAACCGTATTTCTTCAAGACCGCCACATTTCCGGCCAGATTTTATGTAGTCGCTCGCTCCCATGCAAGAATGCATGTAAATCAACAAGATAGCTGGAAAGCAGTACTTTCTGCACTCCTACCAGAAATCAAGAGAAAAAGCAAAATGTTGGCATCAGTCGGGATTCGAACTCGTGACCTTACGTTTGGGAGCGAGTCAAGTGCTTAACCACTACCCCACCGCACCGCCGCAGCCAACTTCTTCTCTAATTAAATTTGTGTTAAGGGAAGAAGAGGGTCGAGGAGTGTATGCTGCCATGCTGGGGAAAAGCAGCCCTTTCAGGGAATCGGTCAGCAGCATTTCGAAAGCAGATTTGAACTCACTATTCGAAGACACATCAGTCGGTATACATCTCATTACGAACGGCCGGACTGACCTGTTGACCTTCCCTGGTTAGTCCAACCATAGGCAGATCGTCTCTTGTTATCACTTCTTCTTATCTTTCAGCGTTTGTCCCGCTCTCTAGCGTTGGTCCGCTCTCCTGATTTTGTTACGTTTATCCGGTCGAACATGCCTGCATCAGGTGAGCCACCAACTATCTTTAATCGCGCTCCTCCAAAATTCAGCGCGCGCTCGGGGAAGTGAACCGCTGTCGAAAACTGTAGGAATTATAGAGATCGAGGTCGTCCAGTTCGAAGCCAACTGTTGCTGCGTGGTACGGATCGGTCCTCTCTGATCTTTTGCTGTTTGCATAGAGCACCATCGAGCTGTAGATGAACGTAGTTCGTGTTTGCAAGTACTCCCGGCCCTAAGTGGCATATTACCCCCGGCTTACCGGTGATTTCGACTGCTGCCGCAACCCCACGGTACCTTAGTGGCCTGCAGTTATTACCATACGAGGAAGAACAGAAGAACTACTGGCAGCACAATTTTTTTTTCCGACTATCACCCATGTAGGAACGCTACGGCGCGAAAAAAATTTCTCTCTGTTTTCTTACGTTATGTCATCGTTGCAAATCCGATCCATACGGGTGACACCGGCCGTCCAACGTAGCATTTTCATCTCCATCACACTAAGGCGGGCTTCGACTTCCTTGGTTGCAGGCCAGCACTCAGCCCCGTACAACGCTACTGGTCTGACCACAGTTCTGTGAACCTTCGATTTGAGGTGCTCTGGTATGGTCTTGTCGCACAGAACTCCAGTCATCGAGCGCCATTTCGCCCATGCTGCACTCACACGAGAGTTCACCTCTGAGGTTCGACTGCCATCGGACACAATTTCTGATCCAAGATGCTTGAAGGCTCTTGTGCCGTCCAACGTAGCATTTTCATCTCCATCACACTAAGGCGGGCTTCGACTTCCTTGGTTGCAGGCCAGCACTCAGCCCCGTACAACGCTACTGGTCTGACCACAGTTCTATTAATCTTCGATTTGAGGTGCTCCGGTATGGTCTTGTCACACAGAACTCCAGTCATCGAGCGCCATTTCGCCCATGCTGCACTCACACGAGAGTTCACCTCTGAGGTCAGACTGCCATCGGACAC